GTAAACACAACCGTTTTATTTGCTCATGTGAGATGATCTGCAAATCGGGCGTTACTTTTGATGGCTACTGTACATAAATTTCGAATAAAATTATTCTAATTGGTTCAAAAATGTTTATTGACACAGTATTACACACGCGTTGGTTATTAACAGATTAATTAGTAGGGACAAAAAATTATTTCTGTATTTGTATTACTACTAGTGATAGAACTGGAATATACATTAACACACCGATATAAACATATATATGTTTATATTAATTAATATAAAGATATAAAGTGCCAAGGCTAACAATCTAATCAACTATATTTTAATCATTTTCCACTACAAGTTTTCGATTATCAATGGTACAAATTGTTTGAGTCAAGTTTTGTGATAATTATTTTAGTATTGCAACGTTCTCTTCTTAAACTGTAAGAGTCAATTAGTACATTCGTACGTACGTACAAAGGTAATTAAATGATTAATTGATGTATTATGACAAAAAGGTTTTTTTTAGTCAGTCTAGATAAATGTTCACGTTTTCAATCTTTAAATTTTGTCATTTATTTAAACAAAGATCATAAGTCCAAGTAATCATAAGAATATCCTAGTTCACAAAACAGATGACAAAAAAAACATTAACAAAATTTTTAAGTTCTAAAATGTAAACCAATTAAAATTATAATATAAATTAAAATATAAATTATAATATAATTATGATAGCGAAAATGGAAATATTAAGCCATCATGGAAATCATAGAAGTCAATATAATAAGCATGCTTATTATTAAAACTGAATTTCTTTGATAGTAACCAACTGAATCGCTCGTCATATCGTCAGACTTGCTTGGGTGTTTGTTATTACCTGAAACGACAATAACAGATGGTTTCGGGGAGGGAGTGGTATCAGAATCATCATCAATAACATCAGTTGGGTAGCCATCCTTACAAGTTTTAGTAACTTTATATTTAAAATTTGGGGATGAAGTTTCATCGCAAGTACGAGTAGGTTGAGTGGTGGTGGAAGTGACTGTGCAAATTGATCTGTTAAATATACATGAAAATATATAATTTAGATATGGCATGAAGGTCCTTCTTAATATTTCAAAAGTATAACTCACGTTGTAGTGGTGGGAACGCAGGAAGTAGATGTGGTAGAAGTAGTAGTACACGTAGAAATGGTATCGGTAGTCGTGGTAGTTGTGCAGATTGTTTCACTGCAATTCAAATATGTCATATTAGTTAAATATTCACTCTTTAGGTTTTAAGAAAACCTTACCTAGAAGGTTCGGGTTCGGGTTCATCGTCCCTTTTTTGAAAAGCCCCAGGGGATGGTGTCGCTGACGCCATCATCACAAATACCATCGCAAGGAATATGAGCGTAAGAAAATGTTTGCGTAATAATACCATGATGAAATTGTTTGAAACAACGGTAATGAGTGTGTGCTGGAGGCTTTTCAAAATATAGAGAGTGATAATGGATAAAATAAACAACGGTTTCATATAGAAACAGTGGCAATTTATATGTTTTTTTTCTTGATTACAAAGTAAATTATATCCGACGCGTACGACGTTAAACCGTTTTTTTTTATTTTATTTAATTTTATTTTGTCAATTCTTTATTAATAAACACATCCTCTCGATATCTTGAGATGTCATTGGTTGTCCATAATTTGACATAAACATGCATGCATTTAATTTATTTTGAATTGATACAATTTTGACAAAGCAAGCTTTATTTTCACATTCAAGAGTTAAGCTATAATTGCATAATCTTCAATTTTTCATGCTCTAATTTTTCATGCTCTAATTTCCATTTGAGGTTGAACATCCACACATAAAAACCGTTGCTTGTTCGGATAATTCTATTTTAAATTTAATATAAATTATTAATTTCTGAATTTCAAACTAAATTAAAAAATATGTATAACAAACTTTGACAATTTGTTTTTAATTTCGTTGAGTGTTTTGATTTAAAAATCATAATACGATACATGCAGAAAAATATATGCAGAGATTGCATACCTACCTACGTACCTACGTACGTACGTACAATACGTTCGTCCAGTCAAATTACATAAATCAACGAAATTACATTTTTAAATTTTTGCCTTAAGCTTTAGTTAAAATACCCAATGTTTCTTAAACTATTACCAAAAGTTTTTTATTGTTCATGTGATAAGATCATGTAAAATTTTTTTTCTGCCATGATATGAGTGCTGCAAAGCGAAAACCTGCAACTTCGGTTTTTGCCGGCTCCATTTTTCAGATTCCTGATGAATTATAATAAATTCTATAATAAATTCTATTTAATGAATAATGTGTCTGATAAGTCGTTTCTATAAAATTGATTTCGAAAAACTCACAATTGCAGGTTTTCCTTTGCAGCACTCATATTTTGTCATAAATGACATCATCATTTATGCAAAATATGAAATTTTTTTTTTATCAGAGTTAATGTCACTCTCATGTGCTGCGTGGCAGCACATGAGAGTGACATTAACTCTGATAAAAAAACTTTGTTATTTTTCATCGTACGCCTAGAGGTGCAGACATTTTTATGGCAGTGCAACCTCAATTACATTACGGCTGTATTACTACCATCGCAACCTGTTGCAGCTAGTGATGGGACTAGAGGTGCTAAAAATTAAAACGTCATACGCCGTGATCTATTAAAAAATTTTGATTATTAATAATTATTAGATGCGACGATTAAGTATCACCAATTTTTAACCCTCATAGTCCCATCAATAGTTTGTAGCGCAATGTGAGTTGTAATATATAATGTAGGTCATAATAAATGTCGTAGGTCGTAATGACCGCCGTAGGCTGTAATAAATATCGTAGGTCGTAATGACCGCCGTAGGCTGTAATAAATATCGTAGGTCGTAATGACCGCCGTAGGC